TTAAAAAAAAAAAAAAATTGAATCTCAAAAGTTGGGGGCACCTGCCCCCAGGACCCCCCTTGGGTCCGCCCATGCCCGAAGTGGCTGTCCGCGTCGTCTTCTAGTGTCAGGCTGACCATGAGGGCCCCTCAAATGTCAAGGATGCAGTTGGAACTGAAGAAGGGGTGGGGACGAAGAAGCGACGCTCAACACACATTCGAGTATCATCAGTGTCAAACTGGACTCGCTACGCTAGGAGTGGACGGAGGAGAGTAAATAACAGTAAGCAATAGGACTTTTTTTGAATGGAAAATCAATGTGAACCTTTTTTTTAACTCGAAATTTGTCATATTTTTATGGTTTTTACGTTCATGTCTAGTTTTTAGATTTATGGGAAAACGCTTATGTCCATTTTCAGATACGTGTAGTTCATGTTAATATGTGACAATACTGTTTTATTTTATAGTAGACAGCATTTCATAGGCGGAATTTTTATTTAATGTGTAGCAGGTCGCACTGTCGAGAAAGAGAAAAACTGTCGAGATCTACATATCAACTGTTTGGACTGAATGCCATGTATTGTTTTCAGAATGTAAACAATTTTATGTTCATATATAGTTTTAGGATTTTTGGAAAAATATGTTTACGTTCAATTTAAGATGTGTGTAGTTTATGTTCATGTATGAAAAATCAGTTTTATTGTGTAGTATATAGCAGTTCGTAAGCCGATTCTCATGTAATGTGTAGCACGTCGAACTGCCGATGAACATAAAACTAAATTGTCTAGACAAGCACTACAACTACCGAACATGTAATGATTTTGTAAAAAAATTCTTTGCAATCAGATCTAAAATGTGAGATGACAAATAGTACTATCTCAATTTTTTCGAATAATTGATTTCACAAATGGAAACATTGAGTTAAAGGGCCTCAATCCCCGATTCGTCCCCTTTTTTCCCATCATCATTGATTCGACAATGACGATGTTGATCAACCTAAATTTTATCGTCTGTTTATCGTACAGCATAACATATATCAACATTTTTACTTGCATTAGAGCAAATTTTAAAGCATTCTGTTAAGGTATCTAATATATGACACTAGCTCTGATTTTAAGAATTACACACTCTAGGCACAGGGGATTGAGCTAAAAAGGCTGTTACATAAGTCATCTAAAAAAAAAAAAACTCTGCTCCTACCATTTGACTAGATCTTGGTCTCGACTCTAACATTCTTTCACTAAACACTTCTAAAATTTGTCAAATTACTTGCTCTACTTAAACAAAGTCGGGCCATTTTTATTTACTTTGACGAATTTTTCAGTGTAAAAGGGAGGGGATATTTTATTGTTTGACACGGTCACCCATTAAAAAAAAAATCTACTTTTCTTCTCCTATAAATACTCAACTCATTACAATATTTTTTTCTCACCAAACTTTCATTCTCTAC